ATGAGTATGGTAATCAGGTTTATTAACGAGTGAGATTTTTTACTCTGGGCCGAAGCGTAGCTGAAGGCAGGATTTCGAAACGAGTAACGTAAACTGATTTGACATACAAATAATGTAAAGACTTTTATTTCATACTGTCTATTTCATTCAAAGCTATTTATGATATGAGTGTTAAAGTAATTGTTGTTACTTTTTGTGAGTGAAAAAAGTTTGCCGAACCGAGCGAAGCGAGTGGAGCAATTTCACGAACTAGAGTAATACTATTTTAACACGAATACCATACAACCATTTTTTGTATAACTGTTCCTGATTCTTCTCTCAAGAACTGCCGCCTTTGGATAATAAAATAGATCACATGCTGGGCGTCATTTGTCATACTTCTATGTTAATTAATTTCTGACGTTTCACGTAATTATTATCAGATTGGGCTGTGAAGTGACTGTATTTAGGACACGCCGAATACCTTGGTTAACCCACAAACAACTCTGTTTGTTTCTCCGTGGTTTTTATTAAAGTTCTTGCTAGTGTTTTTAAAGCTTAATTTCGCGTAATGAGAATAATAATACTGATGAATTGTGTGTTCCTGGCGATATTGAAGAGGCTGCCAAAAGAGCTACGTTTGAATATTACCGAAAAAATCAGCTCACGAAGTATGACATTGCATATTCTCCACATTTTCTCAGCTGGTGTAGAATAAAAAGTGGAGGAACTTTCAGTGAATCCCGTATTTTTTAGCGTTATTTGTGGAAGAGAAATGTAAAATATGGAAGCTCGTCAACTTTGTGGAGTAAATTTTCAATGATCAAGGCGAGTGCGCTTCGTATAAAAATGGTGTCGATGTGAGCAATATTTCAAGGTATCGTTTCTTCAGCGGAAAAAATGAAGGCTCAGTCCCAAAAAATCAAAAACCCTTAACGTTTGAGCAAGTCAAGATTTATATACGAGGCACCAGATGAAAAATACTTGATGGTTATCATCATCGTCGTTTTTTCCTGAAATATTAAATTACAAATGGCACTGCAACCCAGTTTTGGTATAAACAAGTTTTTGGAACAATGCCTCTACCATTGCGATTTCTGAATCTTCCGGACACAAAGGGTAACAGGACACTGTTTTAGCAAGATCGGTCTGTTTCTTTTTGTTGGCGGAATCAGGAGCAAATTATCACCGAATAAAGACGCACGGAGGATGGAAGTCTACAGTCACGTAAGCCGAGGGTACCTCGACCAGTCTATTACTACAAAAAGGCGATTGCTGTAAAGAATTATTCCACACACCGTAAGCTCCAACCATTACCAGGCGCATATCCACTTCACCTCAGGATATGAATTGCTAATGGTCAATAATTAACAAATCAGTTAATTTCAAATTTGTTGCAAAGCTCTTACAAATTCTCAAGGTAATTAATATCAGCACTGTTTCGCAATTGTACTATTCATATAATGATTCATAATTATAATATATCATCTGAATTTGTATACAGTTTATAAAACTTAATGAGTTGGTTATTTGGATATGTTACCCTACTCCTTTTAACGGTCGCACATACACATAAAGGCATTGTTACAAACGAGTAGATTTCGCTTTCACTTCATCGCCATCGACATGGAGCTACGATTTTTAACTTCATATCTAAGAATATAGGTATACCTTGGCCTAGCTTGAACAGCGTCGGCTCACTTGGGTGAAAGGTTAACCCTCCCTATCGCCATATATAAGCTGGAATGCGCGTTGCCGTTGCCACCCGCCACACTTCTACTGTGGTTGAAACGGTAGCGTTAAAAAAATATTTTTAAAACACTAGTGTTAAAAAAATATTTAACACTTACTTGTAAACGTCATCTTTTAACTCTCTTGACAGCCATTTAAAAACGTCACTTTTATTGACATTATACAAAAATACCATTTTGATTAGAATGTGTAGTACAACATTAAAATAAAAGCAAAAGTCGATCATTTGATTTGTTTGATGACAGTGTTTGACAAATATCAATGCTACGTTTAGATGGAATGTCAGTTTGCGGTTGCTAGGGCTAAAATTCCAGTCTGTAAAAATTTTCAAGTCTGGTAAATACGATTACCAACTCAATCAGTCTGGAAAGGGCGATTACTAGAATAGTATGAAATAAAATATCTTCTTTCCCAAATTTTTTGTACGCTGAGATCTGTGAAACCAAAAATTCCAGTAGCTTAAATGACCATTGGAATCGGCACATCGTAGAAGTCTGAGTAGCCTTTTTTGCCATTTTACGTTCTTGTTCCGGGATCACCCTGACTGACAGGTCAGCTGTCAGTTTTACAAGTCAGTAGCGTTTAAACATGACGTTTACCCCCGTTTGCGTTTTGTCTTGTTAATCAACCGTTTCAAACTGAGTAACAATAAAAATCTTAGTTATAAAACAACGGCTTGACCTGAAGCCACAGTAGGGAAGGAACGTTAAATAAAACACTGAAAAAATGTGAAAAGTTTGTTTAATAATGACTTAATTATTATGATTGTAGGAAATTTATGTCCAAAATAAATTACATTGCAAAATAAACTTTAAAAATGGTAGTTTCACCGATAAAAATAGAAAATAGCTGGGAAAAAAAAGACCACTTAACCATAAAAAACAAGCCGTCAATTAATATTAAAATTGTGTTGTAAATTAATTGTTTGTAATGATCTGATGCGTACATAAAATTATACACATACAAAAGTAGCAAGTAAACTTCAAGCGGTAAACATACAAGGTTTAAAACAAGTTTTGGAAATTTATGAAGTCAGGTAAGGCAGGTACCATAAAATTCTAAGAAAGGATTGACTCATCGTTAGTGCAATAAGTCCTTTTGGTTAAAAGCAAGATGGAAAAATTACATGGCCTTGTAAGCAATTAACTAAAAACGAATATGTGAAAAATTACGAATCGTAACTCATTTATCGCACATAGATTCTGAACTGAAGAGCTTTGATTAGCCGCCCCCCGCAATATAGTTAGCGTCGCCCCTCGTTCCGGGTTTCAAGCCTACAAGATGTCAAAGACAATCACGGAATTCAGTGTCCCGTAGCTCAAATTTTGACTACATTTTTACCACCCCCATGACTGCATTCAAACGAATCGGCTTAATTTCCACATATTAAAATAAAATGATCAAAATCTTATATAAATGCTAACTCGGGACAAGACCAGTAATCAACATCAATAAAACATAAATTAAGCAAGCATTACACCAAAAACGTAGACAATAAAACAATAGCATAACGATAATTAAACTGATTCCTGCTTGGCGGGTTAAATCAAGACAAGATTATCAACGTAACCCCGTTCGTGCTTTCTTTAATGTGGCGCAGGTAGCTTTTTCCCCACCTAGAAATTGCATGGTTGCCAAGTCTAAAAAATGATGTATCGTCGCAAGTTTATATACAGGGTGGAACCTTTCAGGGTATAACTTAATTAACATGAAATTCTTACCATTTTTGTTAGATCGGTCCAGAATTCAGAACGATTTAGTAAGAGTGTGTGCAACCAATAGCAGAAGAGAGCAATCGCATTAAAAACCTGTGGAGTCTTCACAGTCTTCACCGAGCTTGGTTTAACAATTCCAACGCCTTCACTTAGTATACTTATAGATACTTCATAAAGCCAAGGTCGCCATTTTGAATCCTAAGGGAATCAAACTTTCGCGATCTGTAGGCGTATAGGCGACTGTATACATACAAAAAGGTGGCCCAATCCGATTTTCATCAACAGACTAATTCAAACGGACTATAATATCTCTTTGTGCTTTCAGCGCTTTTTACGCTATTAAAGTTAGAATACTTTACCTAAAGTTAGGTTTGAGCGTCTTTAGCTAAACTTGTAAAAGCAATTCTGTCGACAAAGTGAGAAATTACCACAACCGCCATCGTGTCAAACCACATGGAATTGAAATTATAAGGTACGTCCTACGTAAATC